CGGAGCTCTTGTAGTACAGGAGGGCTTGCTTGATTCAGCAACAGTGGGCTTCACACTTTTCTAGCTAAAATCCTTGGATCCCAAGGTTAATAGTGGTGTGACCAGTCTGGCCATAGTAAAGTAGGTTCTTAGTTTTCTGCAGATCCTGGGGAAGTGGGCTATCCCAGATGAATCCTGAAGGTAATCTCTCCCTATGCTTCATCTCCTCAGAGTCTGTGGCTTTATTCCGGACAACTGTGACCTCAGGGCTAGTCCATGATTCGTGCAATTGAGAACCCCTACAAAATTCTAGTAATGTGCCATAGGGCCAACAGGAGACTGACAATTTTGCTATCCTATCCTAGAAGACTGATTGATTGACTATATTCATATAGACACTAGCAGAGGGACTGCGGAGTATATGGAAGAAATTCTGCCATGACCAAGCAGGCAAGAAATGGACCTGCATGCTTAGAGCTGCCTTTCTTTAAAGACAGCAAGAGTACCATCTGCACTACATTCATACAATCCCTATTTAAATGGATATTTCACAGCTGACTAAAAGGCATATGTGCTTACAACAATCTAATAGTCTATATATTACAGCTACTAAAACAGTTCATTCAATTAGGCAATTATTGTCTGTCTACTGTCCTATACTTTCTTCTCACAAGAGGCAAGTGTCCCATTATGAAAAGACATTATCATGAAACAGTAGATGAAATGGTATTTGTTCACACAGTTATTTTGCTAAACAAAGTAACAGTTCCTAAGTAACACATATGATTCTTAAATAAAATACTTTATTGCTTGCTACTTGAGAAACTTTTTTTTAGCTTTATTTCATTTTAACAATCAGAACATTCACAGATTTGGCAGGTGCAAGCCCACAAAATGTGGGTTAGATAGATATGTAGCTTCTCTCAAGATAATTAGGCTTCTGTTGCATGGAAACAAAACTTCCTTATCAAAAATATTCCAGTTCAGAAGTGTAATTTTAGCAAGGAAATATAAGCCCGTACTGGTGTTAAAAACTGAAGTATTTTAATCTTTTAAAGTACACTTAGCACAGCAGAAAGTTCAAAATATTGCTACATTTAAGTATTTTGTTTCAATGTGAAGCCCAAATGAATGTTGAAATATCCTGTGGGATGAAGTTTCCATTTATGGAACAGCTTTAATAATCTGCATCTGTGATATTGGAAATTGCCTAACATTTCTTTCTTTTTTTCCTTCCCCCTCACCCCCATAAGGAACAACCCTCTGACAGAAAAAAGCACGCGCTTGTTAAGAGATATTTCTTATATATGCCAGATTTAGCATGCATTGAGTCAAATACTAAGAAATGCAGTAACTTTCATTAAATTTCTCATGGCCAGATGTTTGTACCAGCTGATCTCTTTCAAAATGTAAGGGTGAAGCTACTTCCGGACCACTGCAAGATTACAATATAGAGAAGAGAAATCTGTGGATGGCAGAAAGAACTAATATAACAGAATGAAAAAGCAAGAACAGGGGATTCTGGATTTCATAAAAATATAAACTATGTTGGTAGGGGGTGGCTTTTCAGTTGCACGAAGAGATGCAGATCCACATTTTGAGATCAAAGTGTGTCCAACTTGCATTTACTGCTTAAAACTGGGTAAAAAAGAACTTAAGCTGCACACAAAGGGCATATTTGTGGGCAGAGAAATTGGAAGTAGGTTTTCACCAATGTCACAACAGTATTTCACAATAGAGCACACAACTGGCAGAGGCCGTAGCCCCATGCTTGACAATGTTTATTCTTCAACATTGTGGAACAGTGAAGAGTTTTGGAACTGACCCAATAAGACCAAGCTCAAACCACCTTGAGTGCTATTTTTGGTGGAAAAGCAGGATGGAAATACGGAAGGAAGGCAGGCAGCCAGGCAGGCAGGATGGACGGACAGGCAGACGGGCAGGCGGACAGATGGTTTTACTTTGCTGTGAAGGTCAGTGACTGTACCAGTCACCCTTTTTTAGCCTCAGCCTACAGCATTTGCTTGTTCCAAACGGAAATTGAGTGGGTTTGTGTAATTTACTCTGAAGCCTTTATAGGAATGGGAGGATGCAAGTGTGACAATTTATCAACTACATCTTTTCTTGGACTAATGGGAGAGTTCAGCAGAAGAGTGGGGAGCTGCAGACCAGACAGGAGACAGCCAGGACCACAGACAGGTCCCTGTGAGACAAGAGAGAGGATCAGCCAGAGTTGACTCAGCTCTGTAGAAAGTGGTGTGCCAAGTGCTGCTTTCTTGGAAGGAGGCAGCCTAGCAGTGAAAGAAGCTGCATTCCACTTTGCAGGCAGGTTCTCTGGCAGGCTTGATATATTTCTTGCCACCTTGGATATAGATGGATGGATGGGTGGGTGGATGGATGGCTGGAGGAGAACATTCTAAGTAGGGTAGCAGAGCTACTCCATCTGTGGCCAGGGATGCATCATGTCCTGTACGTCAGTGCCCCACCTGGGGGACACTCAGAAGAAGAGGGGATTTCATCCAGCAGCCCAGCTGCTGCTGCACTGGGCTTCCATCTTAGAGGATGTGGCTTTACCACACTCTTGACACTAAAAAGGCACCTCTCAGGTGCCGTTCTAACTGCCTCTACAACTTTGCTGTCAGTGCTACAGGTTCAGCAAACTGTCTTCTAAGAAGATGCTGAAACAAGCATTCTTTTGCATAAACCCCAGCCTATGCTTGCCACAGGGAGCTCTCCAGGATCATAACAGACCCTGCCTGGGCTGACCTTGGTTTGCAATCTTGTTTGTTGGTTAAGTCTTTGCTAGGCTTACATCGCTAGATCTCTGAATTAAAGACTCTATCAATGCTAGGACCCATCTTATCTTATCTTATCTTATCTTATCTTATCTTATCATCTTATCTTACAGTGCTGCATAGTGGTTAGAGTGGTGTACTGGGAGATCCTAAACCATGAATCTCACTGGGTGATTTTGGGCCAGTCACTGTCTCTTATCCTAACATACCACATAGGGTTGTCGTAAAATGGAGAGGAGAAGAACCTTGTAAGCTGACTTGGCTTCCTTGCAAGACAAAGACATGAATGTGCATATAATAATCATTATAATAATTAATAATATAGCAAAACAGCACAGAGAAAGAAACCTAACAACTGGATTTAAACAGGTTAATGGACATGTGCATATAAGGTTTCCCCTCCTAAGGTGGTTGGGATAACTTCTTTGAGTAGAGAAAATGAAGTTAAAAAAAAATTGAGGAAAACAAAGAGTGCTTCAGACCCACACCCTGGGGAAAATAAAACCAAATGCTGCAGTTTAGGTTTTCAGCAGGCTGTGCAAAAGAATAGTTAGCTATTCCTGGTACTATAGTACTGAATTTTCCCCCTGCATTGAAAGGACAGATTCATAAAAAGAAAGCGTACTTTGGAGGTAGCAAAAATTGAATTGCGGTGATCTTCACTTTTAAACTGTTACTTTGAAACATGCCTCTGTTTCTAATAAAACAAAATTGCATTGCCATGTGAAAGATCAGGCCTGAAATGCTCTAGTTTTGGTCTCATTCCAACACTGCTATCCACAGATTGCTTTCACAATGGAAGACAAAAATACTTTGCTAAACCATAATATGGTTTTTTTTACAGAAGAGAAGTGCCTCATGCAGCATAGTAAATAGGAAACAGCCATTGATTCTAAGAAAACATCGAACAACTCTGTCTAGAAATATATCTATTTAATATCAATATGTGGATGAGTAGTTTTTTCTCACTTATTTCTCGGAAGCTTTTGTTGGTGCCAAGATTGGCCAAGGCAAACATTTCCCAATTAGGAGCTGGAGTCCTCCTGGAGAGGAGACAGTGGGAGCCTAAAACTCAATGGGACATCTTTGCAAAGAAGTGGGGAATGCAAATAGTCATTGCCATTTCATGAGAAAACTTCTCCATCTATCGATTGCTCTTCATAACCTGCTAGCCTTCAGACTGAACAGTCTGCTGGCAGCAACGCCAATGAAGAACATGAGAGTACAAGGAGTGTTCTTTAGACCCAGGGCCTGCTTGTGAGTCATTCTCTTTTTAATAATGGCCAGCCCAAAGCTACCTGGAAGCCCAAAAATCAAGGCATGGAGACAATAACTCTCCTTGATGGTTGTGATTCAGCCACTGGTTATCATGACCCAATATCCATCACTGTGGAATCACGTACATTGGATATTGCCATTTTGGTATCCAATCACCTATTTGAAGAGTTCCTTTAGGACAGGAGTAGGAAGCTCTGTTTTCCTACTGAGAACCACCTTGCCTTAGGAATAATCTTTCTGGGGAACATACTGATGCTGGGCACCATCAAAATCAGTGTGGCTGGAGCCAGAAGTAGAGGTAGGCAAAACCTGAGCAGGCAGGTCTGAAGTGCGGGGAGAGTGAATGTGTGGGTGGAAAGTTTGGATCTGGGATTTCCTGAAAATAGGCCAAAGAGCACATGGAGATTTTAGAAGGCAGGTCCCTCATACCAGCTTTAAGAGCTCTTCACAGTCAGCTTCACTCTTTACCTTCCAGTATAATTTGACACCATCCCAGACTTGCCTATAGCACTGCTTCATCCCTGGACTCCAAATCCTTTAGGAACAAATGAGATGATATCAGTCATAATTGACTGATGTGAGGACTGTTACTTCTGCGTACCGTTTCCTGTTCTTTAGCCAGTTATAGACCCAGGTATGGACCCATGGGAGTGGGAAAAGAGCCAATCCTTTGTCCTTTATTGTGGCTAAGGAACTGCTACGCAATGATGGCTGCAGTCCTATGGATACTTTCTTGGAAGTGCCACTGAACCCAGTGAGTTTGGGTCTAACATACTTAGGATGGTACTGCAGGCTAAATATCTTAACGTTTCATTTCTCACAAAACATCATTCCTGGATTCATATCAAGAATGAATTACTGTTCTGCTGAACAAAGTCTCTGGGCTACCCCATGACTCCATTACGCTTCTTTTTTGTACCAAAGTCATTCATAGTGTGATCTACTTACAGTTATGGCAGGTTGTTCCCATGTAACCAGTTTCACTACAATCACAATAGAATGTTGTCCAGGACTGGGAACATCTTCCTCCGTGTTCACAGTAGTTTGGCAAACACCTGATAGGGGAAAATTCAACAAAAAGGCTATTGTTTTAACCAGTTTACATATGCAGGGAAATATGCCCTATGTCTCTTTAGCTCATATTTCTATAATTCCCAGCCTGAAAGAAAAACATTCAGAAGACTAACTTGTATACTGAATAAAGTGAATTCAGAATGGAAGCCCAAATGGATACCAAAAAGCAGGGGTGGCAGCAGGTTAAGGCTTTGCTTCTCTTCTGTGTCTGGGCAACAGAAATACATGTTTTATTCTGGTCTCAGATAAGGAGGAAAATACCAGATGAAAAGCAACACAATTTATTTCTTCAGCAAGGACTTTTTATATCACCCTTTTCTCATTTATCTGAAATTTAGCTTTCTGGTCTAAATATCTAGCTGTACTTGCTCAAGTGAAAGCACAAACAATTCATATATAAAAAGAGAGGCTTTACAAAAAATATGGACAGTATATTCTATACTCATCCTCTCACTAGTTTTACCACTAAGCTTTGTACCACATGCTTGTAAATTTAAGAAAATCAGGTAAGCAGCATGAATTGCGAAGAATCATCAAAAGAAGCAATGGGTGAATCATCAAAAGAACCAAACTGAGCCTCCCCAGAGATTTCAAGTCAGTCAACACTTATAACTCCATTACTGTCCAAGTTTTACTTTTTGGAAATTAAAACAGAATTTTAAACCCACAGTTAAAGAGTCCCTCTATATAAGGCATTCACTGTGTGCTTATCCATGTCTACTCAAGTTGTGTATTGATTCTATAGACTACATCAAGACCTTACAGCTGTTCTTAAACAACTTTTTCATTTTTTTAACAGCAAGAAACATGCAGTAGTGACCTTATTTTTATAACAAGGCTGTTTATCCTCTCTTGCAGTTTTATTGCAGGATTAAGAGGCTAACAACACTATATGAAGAGTATTTTGTTCCCTGTTCTTCTGCAACATCACCTCTGTGTAGGACTGTGGAATAGCAGGATAGTGTAAATACAGAAGTGTAAAAAGCTTTTTAATTTTTGCCAACTTGGAGGATCATATAACTTTGCTCTTTCTGTTCAAGCCTGTGGGAAGTGAGATCCATTCGCTAGCAAATAAGCAAAACTGGGCCAGGGTCAGTCCAGCCATGAGAAGAAGGGGAAGGTTGGAGGGCAGAGTGAGAAGGGGATCGCTCTGCACTGCTCCGCTTCGCTCTGCTGCACTGTACTGCACACTACCTGCACTGCACACAAGGGGCTGCCTCCCCAGCCGCAGGTGGGGGCCCTTGGGAGGCCTGCCAGCCCTTTCTGCCATGTCATTTGCTACAGTGGGAGCTCTCTAGGGCAGCTGCCTGTGTTCTCCTTTGCCCATCGCACATGGCCAGAACAAACAGTTGCTCTGAACATCCACAGGGTCACAGAACATCCACAGGGTCTTGAAAGAGTCACATGGCTCCCTCCAGGATCAGTGTCGCAGCAGCTATATGGCTTAGGGGAGATGCAGGGAGGGGGGAAGATGCAGGGAGGGAGGGGAAAAGATGCAGGGAGGAAGGGAGGGCTTGCAGGGAAACAATGCAGGTGCTGCACCCCTGTATAGTCTCTCAGCTCAGGCAGTGAGAGACCTAGCCCAGGGCCTGCAGGTGACGGCCACCATTTCTCCTTCAGTGCCCATTATGGACCTTATTTTTCCTTTCTTTTGAACACCCAGATCCTCAACCCATCTAAAGAAGTGCAGCACACAGTAATTAGCATTAATTTGCATTGGCAAACATTTGGCCTCAGCTCCTTTCTTATTTGTTTCCTCACATTCCTGCCAAGTACAATGATAGGGTACTCATTTGAGAGCTGAGTTGTAAAACCTTTGGGCAGCCAAACAGATTAATGTTTGTGCCTGTGGCAGGGGAAAAGTGTCATTTAACACATGAGCAGCAAACACCTGAAGCTTAGGAGACAGCTGCAGCAGCTGTGCCATCTTACCCAGCATGCTGTTTCCATATAGACTATTTCACTGAAATCTCACAGTGGCAAAAGGTCCATGAAAAATTCCTTTCCTTTCCTTTCCTTTCCTTTCATTTCCTTTCCGAAATCACCTTCCCATCCCTCCCCTCTGCACAGCCAGCTTTTTGCTTAAATTTTTTGAAGCATTCTCATAGATACAGTCCATACTCTGAAAGTATATAAGGCAAGATGACAGTCACAAAGATACCTAACCGGGAATAAATGCTAGAACCCAAGACTAGTAATTCAAATGTTGACACTCACTCATTATTAGAGGGTATTTATTTATTTATATCTCACTTTTTTTTCCTTTCAAGGAACTCAAGGCACCTCATATAATTCCACCTTTCCTCACAATCTTATCCTCAAAACAATAACCCTATGAGGTCAGTTGGGTTGCAAGTCTGTGTCTAGCCCCAAATTATTCAGTTACTCCATGGACAACTGGGGACTGGAACCCAGATCTCCTGAGTCCTAGTCCCATGCACCCCCATGCAATTTTAGGGGTCTGAAATGTACTTTTGTTATTTAGAAGGACCCAACAGAATGGCTATAGGAACACTGACTGCCAGAAGGCTCCATTTCTGGGAGTTAACTTGAGAAAAAGGAGAAGCTCAGGATGCAAAAAATGACTTAGAGGAAGCAGAAGGTCTGTTGCTTAGTATATGAACTCTCCTTTTTCTCTGAACCTTTGCAGGGCTAACAGCTCCTATTAAGCCATTGCTTCCAGCTCCTGCTCATTATGAACAGGATCCTTCCAGAGAATTATTTGGAACTAACTATTTCATGATTAATCACTGGAATGTCTAATGAACAACCTGAACTTCTCACCCAATATAGTTCTCCTTCTACAGCAGCTTCCTATTAGTGAACGGGTACAAGAACAAAATTCAAAGCCCTTGCCTCAACCCAAAATATTATCCCTCTTCCCTTTCATGGCGTTATCAGAAAAAGTGACTTTCTGTTGCAGCTCCTTCCCCAGCTTGTTCTGGTTGGATTGCCTAACTTGCAGTGTCCTTGCTCTTGACAAACACTAAACAAACTCTTGCTCGATAATTGTCACAGAAGTAGCTCTCATATCTTTGAGAGGTGCCAGTGCCTCTTTGCAGTTCTACTATGCTTCTTTGTCAGACATACTATAGCAACAATCTGATGGGAAAATCCAAAACCTACAGCACAATTAAGCTTGCACACGCACACACACACACGTGGGTGTGTGGCAACAAAGTTGAATAGGCCTGAATTTCCTATTAATGCACAAGAACAGACTAACTGGCTATCTCAATAAAATAACCTTATTTTCACAGTAAAATAAACTAGATGGAGAAGGTCTTTCTAATTCAGTGGAACTTATGTGGGAGTTCTGTTCTGCATCTCACTGTTGCATTATTGTTATTATTAGAACTCAATGTATCTTATTGTGTTGAAAGCCGCCCCGAGGCTTCGGCAAGGGGCGGCATAGAAATGTAATAATAATAATAATAATAATAATAATAATAATAATAATAATAATAATAATAATAATTTTCACGTGTGTTATCACATTTGACACATCTTTCCTTCTCCAGCCTCTGCTGCATTGCAGCCTGGATGGCTTCCAGGCTTCATCTTAGTCTTGATAGTAGCAGTACCTATCAAGGCAGAACCATGTCCTATTCTGTTTTGAAAAAGGTGGCAATTCAGTGGCAGGCCATAAGAGACAGAAGAAGAGCACCTCCAGCTCAGCCTTGAACTATCCTATTTGGCATCCCGTTTTCTATGGTGGCCAACAGGAAGCACACAAGTAGCCCATGAACGCAACCTCCATTTTACAGTGCTGGTCTCCAGCAACTGGTATCCAGAAGATCAGAAACGGGGTTACAATGAAATGGTATCTTGAAAAGGGTGATGCAGGAGTAGAATTCACCGAATGTTCTCCGGGGAAAGCGTCAAAAGAAAAAAAAAACATTCTTACAAAAATCTAATAAAGTTCAGCTCAAATAATACTGAATAAAATTACTTTGGTAGTTCTTGCTAGTGGGCAAAGGATTAAGTTGGCTTAGATGTAGACTGGAAGCACATTGTTTCTTTGCTTGCACTGAAGTATATTGTCTTGCATTCACACTCACGTCTGAAATTCATTCTTGTCCTTATTTGTAGGTGGTGAAATAGCATGGTAATTTTCTAAATATCACTGGCTCCTTTTTCAAAATCCTCCAACAGTTTGGAGAAGTCAGAAATATATAAACCTCAGATCATTTTTAATAATTCTTCTAAACAAATAAACAATTATTCTAATTATTCTAGATAATTCTAGAATAATCCTAATTCTTCTCAATAATTCTTCTAAAAGAAATTTTAGTTAAGTTGAAGTTTAGAATGGGAGGACTGGCAGCTTGCTGAGGCTCTTCAAGTACAGTCTGCCTCATTTCCAGGTATATTGTTGCTTGACATTTGTTGCTGTCAATATACACTTGAAATGCTTCCTGTTGCAATTGAATGAAGTTTGTGTATATTGTCCCAAAAGAGCATTTTTGAGCCATCATTGCAAACTCAGGAATGGGTGAGCTTTTTCCACAAAATGCAATCAGCATGTGAGCAAGGCAGGTTCTGGCCCCAAACAAGCCAAAATGAAATTGCCATATGGCCCTAGTCCAAGATTCTGCCCCTGTTATCTTTGGCTATACGTTGTGTCACAGGAGACATCTAAGCCACTGTAGTTGATGCTGCCAGTCAGAAGAAACAATTCTGGTCTAGGGGTGCCAGTGATCTGGCTCCTATATGGCTGCTTCATATGCAAAGGTGTCCATCCCTCAACCACCTTCTATGACAACAGATGTCTATGGCAGCTTGTCTGGAAGCATTATTTAATCTAAGTAATTTAGATTAATTACTAAATCTAAATCTTAGCCGCAGATCATAAGAGAATGGCTATGTGAATAGTGGTGATCTCCAAGGATCAAATATTAAACACAGCAAAGAACAAGGGTAGACTGCAAAGTATATCCTGTTTGACAACTTTTTTTCTAGTTCACTGCAGGTTAATTAT